TTAATACGGACACATATTTTGGAATGCAGCCCATGTGCATGCAGATCTGCAGGCTCAAACGTGCACGCCATCTCCTGACAATCCTTCTTACACCTGTCGCAACGCCATAAAGAAGCAGGTTCACCTCACAGGGGGACACCATACAGCTTAAACAAAAGACAGTGATGGATGCACATCTTTAAATTAAGGAAACCTCTCATTCCAGAAACCGAAAACTCAAGTATGCACATGACGTGGCTTGGGCCAGAATATTGGTGCTGAATGCGTGCCTACCGACGTCTCCCCCGCACGTCGGTGCTGGACAAAAATGGAACACACGTCAGATGGGCTGGGAACAGATTCAAGAATCTCCTGGGTAGAAACATCGCACCGGATGGCCATCCAGCAGCATCCGGGATGGTGTGAATCAGACACCAATCGCATATTCCAAAAGCCCAGTGGGTTAGGGTTACCCAACGTCTGGCCTGCTACTTAATCTGACATATTCCAGTTGTCAGGCTTGATTGTATACCTTTAAAGCAGGGGTGCCCAACTCCAGTCCTGGAGGGCCGGAGCCCTGTGTAGCTTAGTTCTTTCCCTGTTCCACCATAAATGATTCAGCTCAAGAGCTGTGTGGTAATTAGCACAAAGCGTTGAATCAGGTGTGTTAAATGAGGGGAAACCCAAAAATGTGCAAGGCTTTGGCCCTCCAGGACTGGAGTTGGGCACCCCTGCTTTAAAGGGGCAGAGAAATTATCCTCCTAGTTGGTAACAGATATTCAGGTTTTTGCCTTCTAGAACAAAAACAAACTGCACAGAAGCTTAAAAAAAAACACAAATTGATGATACAGATGTGTTACACCAAAAACTATAATAACTGAATTATTTGGTGCAGTAAGTAAACACAGTTCCAAAGAGTTTTGGTCATTCTTGGCTTCCTGTGTTACCCTCTGACACTCATGACAGAATGACCTGTGTCAAAGCTGACTGACCGGCTGTCTGTCTGAACATGTTGGCTCACTTGAACTCAACATAAACTATTCAGTTTTAAATGTCTCACCAAACGAGGAGACGTAATGAGGATAAAAAAGGCTGGATTCATTTATTTTTTTCTATTATAATCAGGAAACCAGACCAGGATGTTTACTGCAAAGATTAATAGTCAAATTAAAAGCAGTTCAATCTGCTCATTCATTATGCTTACCACAAGATGAAGAGTAGTTTTGTTTTACAAATTACAAAGCACAACCAGCTACAGAGGTGCAACTTATTACAGATGTGAATTGCAAACAGAACAATTTTCATTGCAAGCTACAAACTCTGAAGTAATCCCAACAACAGAGGTAAATGTACTTAATAGTCAATTATTTTGTCATTACAACATATACTGAAAACCATGATATCACTGAGTAACATTTTTAACCAATGCCATGCAAAACAATCTTCTGCATCTACATAAAACTCTCCTGGGCAGGGAAAGACTTCCACCTATCCCATAAAGATACATGGTCGATGCTATCAGGAGGTAAGTTGGAGCTCAGCATCAAAGGAGTAGGGCGGAAAACTTTCACTAGTGAACATATGTCAGCAGAGAGCAAGGTAAGCCCCAGGCTGCCTAAGACCCAACAGGGCTCATTTAAACCACGACAGAATCTTGAGCCCCAAACATATCATGAAACTGATTCATTAACTATTCTCTGGAGGCCTGACATCGATTTAGCCATTGGAAATAAACATTGCCTTCAGTTCAACAGGTCGCACGCTATGCCCTCAAAAAGCAGGCCTTTTCAGTGGCTCTCATAATCATGGGTAGCTCACTCACAAACGGCTTCCTGTCCCATCTGGAATCTCTGACACGGAAAATCGCTATGCAGCCAGACAGACAGACTTTCAACACGAAGTGATAAAGGAAAGGTTTCTTGTTTGAATCCGCGCCAATTTTCAGACATATTTCAGCAGACTATAATAGTAAAACCAGAGTTAAAGCTGAGCTCCTAACTTCATTAACTTTCCCAAACATTCCCAATGGGCCATTTAAGAGGGAGATGGGGGATGACACTGGTGTATTGGGGGAGGGGGGTAATATCTTTGCCCATGAGAAAAGCAACTCTAGTGTTAAAACAATTAATCATCAGAGGGCTCCTGATGACCAGATTGAGGGAACACAGAAAAACAGAACCCTGACAGCAAAACAATGAGCTCATGTGTCAACGGGGTAAATTTGCACAAGAATGCCATTGCACTGAAGCGCATTCTTATCAGAGGACCCTGGTCGGTCTGCTTTGCATGAGGTGCTGCCCTCTCATTATCCCTGGGACAAAACAGCAGTGTCTTCACAGAAATTCTCCAGGGGATTGTGCATGCTTTCAGAGGCTCACTTAAGCTTTTAGGATGCTTTAAAAACACTTCCTCTGTGGTTTTGCCAAACAGATAAGGCCTGGAATACCTCATGTTGGTGGAGTTTGACTCAACCACCCCCTGTGTGTTGTTTCTGTCCCTGATGGTTGGGTGGGGAAGAGTAGAATCATACTTTTAGACAAAAGAAGACAAGTCCCTTTGACGTTTTGTACTTATTTTATTACCTCCTGCCTCCTACTTGGCTGTGGGCAATGTCAGCCATGTGCATCGGAGAACTATTCTTACTAAAAACAAAACACGAAGAATAGGCGCTTAAGGCAGCCATTGAAACCTGACTGATACCTGCAATTTCCACAGTTAGGTGAATGTACACAGCTCAGGATATTAAATGCTTAAACATGGTTAGGGCAAGCACAGACAAGCAAGCACTGAGACCTCATGGACAGTTTTCATTGAAGCCCTTTCCTGTGCCCACTGACAACAGAGCCACTGTCTGGGTCGGGGGGGGGTTGCAGAGATCGAGATCTACCTTCTGCTGAATGTCCAGTGACTCTCCCCGTCTCTACAAGGCCTTGAGCCAACGGTGTAGCTTAACAGCATGACCTGCACGTTCACGTGAGTTTCACAGTGCCGGCTCACCGCTGGAACTTACACGCCCCATACAGCTGGATCACACCACACCTGTCTAACATGGCCTCATACAGTCTGTTACAAAGCATGAGTCAGCGCCAGCTTGGCGCTAGCTGGCGTCAGGGGTTTTGCTTTGGCTCCTGGTGCTTGGCACGTGCTGGACTTTTCAGGTACACAGATGAAAAAGCAGTTAAGGGCCTCTGACAGGTCTCCTAAGAGCAGTATCATGGGCTGATGTCCCGTTGAGTGAAGAGCCCCTTCATTCAGACAGACATCAGCTGAAGGATGCTTTCGTCACCTGCTGTCAGTAAACACTTGCCCCACCAGAGGCTACAGCTTGATGTCTCCGAGCTCAGGAGGCTGAGCGCAAAGAAATAACCAGCACACCACTAACCGCAGGTGCCTTTTGGATTCTCCTACTATCGGCGACCCAAGGAAATGTGATACTCCCCCCAGTATCACAGCCTATACTGTTTTTAAAGGTCCCTTTTGCCCCTAAACTAATTGCACAGATCACACAGACATAGCGCCATTCACGAGAAACAGAATAATTTAACAGACTGACGCGGTATCGATGAATGCACTAATCAAACATTTAAAAACCTTAGATCGCTGACGCAGCCCAACGGACTGCACACTATTCAGAGGTTTAACGTTACAGTTCACTGATTGCAAGACCTTTCAGTATATAAACAAATTAAACTGTTAAGATGTAGCCTCACTTCGTGTTTCCGCCTCGTCAGTAACACAAATCTAACGATATTATTATGTCTGTCCGAGTTGAACGCGGTGACTTACCTTCGTGATGTCAGTTCAAATTCCTCTGGAAGCCAATGGTGTTTTGAATCCACACACCCACACCAAAGATTACGAAAACGACACTCAAGCACATCTTGGCACTGGCTGAAGTCCATGGTTCGGTTTATTGCTAAATGATTCATTCTTCCTGCCATCGAAATCGCATATCTGCCTTTACCATTTCAACACTACAAAACAGCGACTGCCGTTACAAGATTTTGACCCACGAACTAAACTTATCAGCCCGCATGAATGCTGAAATCTAACTATCTATTCCTTTGCACCAGCGCAAAACACAAATGCATATCAGATATCGCGCCCAAGCTGTCCCTGACCGTGACTGATTTAAATACAGTCCGCAACGACGTGTAAATGGATGCAATCTACATTTCGGGTCCTCGTACCTGTGAGGTAAATGTTCTGCCAAAATCACAACTCCGGCCATTGATAAATTAATATAAAAAAAATTCTGAGCCCACTCCAGCCCCACGGCAGGAACCCTGAGCATGGATCCGGCTTAATGTGCCATACAAACGGGCGATCACGGGGTTATTGGTGGGGGAGGGGGGGTCACCCAGATGTTTTGACAGCTTCCCGGTGTGCCGGCTCTAGAGGCTGCAGCCGAAGTTTGACGGAGTGAGCCTCGGCTCCCAGCCTGAAAGCACATAGATGCGCGGCTGACATCATTCCCCTTCACGTCGAACCCGTCGGTGCTGCTCGCCTGTCCCCCGCTATACCCGCATCTGTGACCGCGAATGCGTTAACATGCAAATACAGCACAGCGATAATATTAAACGGCCAGTAAACAAGCGCACACATGATGCTTTTAATAGACCTGAATTTTCATTAAAGCGCCTGCGTCCTCCCTCTGCCGTCTAAAGATGACCGTTTATTTCCCGGAGGGTTTGGATAACGTTACTTAAATTCAGGGAGCCGCACTTAAATAAAATCAGCGACGTCCAGATCCGGCTCACCTGGCGAGGAACCAACTTCAGCTCAGCTGACACAACAACCCAGCTCTGTACCTTTTTGGTGCAAAAAAAATCAATTTCATTTATAAATAAAGGAAGGGTGAGCTGTCACCTCCGCTTCCGACGCTCCTTGAATGTGACTGAACTGTGATTCGGCTCCGGTTCTCCGGCCCACATTGCACCCCCCCTCCCCTTATCCCTCCCCGTCAAACCGAACCGCCTTGCCACCCCCGCTCGTCGGCTTGTACTCTTTCCCCTTCTTACCATCCATTTCCGCAGCCCGTCACTGCTGACGGACGTGTGTAATCTTGTTTGGGCTCCCGGTCCAAGTCAATAAAGTTTATCCGGTCCTCTCTCCCTTCTTTTTCTTCGGCCGACGCCGCGGCTGCTACGGCTAGCGCCTGTCCCACTCGCTCAGCCTGGACGCTCTCGGTTTATGTTCCCAGTACACTGCTTAACCACCCAGAAGCTCTTTTCGAGTTCCAGCGACCCTTCTACAGACAGTTATCCGGCACTCGGCCGCTACTTTTTCTGAGGTAAAGTTCACGTTCGCCTACGCTGCTCTACCGCCATCTTTCCCCGCGGGGCACGCCGGGTAATCCTCGGGAATCCCCCGCGTGCTCCGCGCCCGGGCGGCGGGATCTGCAGGATAGGAAGCAGCGGAGAAAACACGTTTGCTCGACCGCGGACGAGTGTGACAGTCCGCTCTGATGCTGCGTGAAGCGCTACTCGGCTTCGGTTAGATGGCATAATGACCGGGTGAGGAAAAGTGATTTTCCAACTTGATCACATTCAACCAAGCCGAAACCGCTCACGTCAAATTCATAATTCTCTTTCCAATATCCCGTGTTGCTCTACAAAGATATATCCACATTGTTGAGTGAAGGCTCTTAGAATTCAAAATCAGGTTCGGGATCTAAAAAGCTGAAATTGGTTGTACTTGACACCAATTAAAGTGTATATATAATCTTATTTTACAGTTGTCTTTTAATTAAATTAATAGCATCCCAGGCTTTATTATATATATATTTTTTTTTAAGTATTAGAGGCATTTGACGCTTATGTTCAAGTACGTAATTCCAGAAAAATAACATACCTAGTCACTGGGAACTACCGCCAGATGTCTCCAAAGCATCTGTAATAATCATCATCAAAGACCTGACACACAGCCAGCACCTGTGTGACGAAGATGTGTTGTATGCCAGAGAGGAAGAAACGAGCACCAGCGGTCACAGTGGCGGGTGTACGGGTTGGGTTGGTAGGAACATAACAACATTCTAATAGACTTAACCTATAGTTTAGCCATTCGATTAATTTCGGATGGTCTATTCGGTAAATTACTATTCAGTGGAAGAGAAACAAATTAATCGCTAGAGCTATGAGTATCGTAAATGTATCAAAATATTTAGTACTTCATAAATCTAGCACGTTACAACGTTGGCCTTTGGACAACGCGGATCGCTGCCCTCTGTCAAAACGCCTTAGTATTGTAGCAAGTCAGTGTAAAAGACGGAGGTCGAGACATAATGCGGATAGAAACAATGCGATTTTATTAACGTCTTTAGTCTTAGCACGAGTTTGGACTGTATACGGGGAAACTGGAGCACCTGGAGAAAACCCCACGATGACAACATGCAAATTCCACCTCCTGACGGCGACTTGAACCTAGGTCCCAGAGGCGACGATAATCACTGCACCACCGTGCCGCCCGCAGGTGGAAGTGGATACAATTATATGTATCTTTAGATGGGGCCGAAAAATAATTAACACAATCATATTTCATGCCGAGAGAAATAGTATGGCAGACGCGTCTTGTATTGCGATTGACCCTGGATTATCTTCATATTGCGCCTGTGCTGATCGTCATATTACACCACGGCCTTTTAATGCGTCATAATCAGAGAAAAGTCTCATTACATTTTGAGTATATAAAAATAGTAGAATATTATTCAACCCCAATTCTACATTTTTAGAGGAAAAAGTTCAATTTAATCGTGCATAAATTAACTGTGGGAGAAATTTAAAGAGGATCACAGGAAAACATGATTTAATGCATACTTGCACTGGCAACCAGCAACGTACTGAACGTGCTGGAATGCGGTCACGCGCTAGTTTCAGCCATGGAATACCTCTGTCCCCAGTGAGCATAATGACTGTCATTGTTGTTTTGTACGAACATTAACTAGTTTAACGGTACAAGTATCACTGTCAGAGCCTCTGACAAAAAGTGTGTGTGTGTAGGGGGGGACGACAAAAACCATTATTCATTAACGAATGCACAGTTGAATTAACGAATGCAATACAGTTTCAACTAAAATTAAAAAATGAAGTATTATTATTATTGTTCTTTTCTAAAGTCACCTTATTACGACACGGAAACACACAGGACGCCTGTTGGTTGTCATGTAACTCCTTCGAGTGCTCCAGGCCTTATTACTCCCGAAGTGTCTTCGCTATCGTGTCCCCTGCTGTCACTCGCTTTGTATTTTTGCCTTCTTATTGTAACGGGCCTGAACACCGGTAAATACCCATTGGCTACACAACTTGAAAACCTGCTCCTGTTCTGCCGGGGAAACGCGTGGCGGTGCCAGAGCGGCTCTTACAGTGTTCTTGTGGTACATCCAGTGACAACACGCACACAGGACGTGATCGTCATAATCTTGCATCAGAAGACATGAATTACACAAGAAAGCACACAACAAGAAGTCGATTGAAATAATAAATAGTCACAGGGGACAAAACAGAAGACATTGTGGTCGAGATGCCAATTCATCGCGGGGTACGGTTATTTATACAAATCACTCACTAAGGTTCTAACCATCTAACCATATGTTTTTATTTTCTATCTTGCAATCAAGTAAAAGTAAATTTCTATGCTGAAAACGTTCATTAGTATAATATAGCATATTATGTAAATGCGATTAATTTGTCAAGATACTGTACACTGATGACTAAAATTATAATGAAAATGAACAAGAAATTATATAAATTGAACTTGGGCACAGTTTGTGAATTTACATTCTATACATACCTAAGGTTAATTATGATTGCAAGTTGAAAAACCCAGACATTTCCCAAGTAGCTTTCCTCGTAGTTTTTTCATTTTCATTCCTTTCGGTCACCCCAAGGTCGATCTTATGCAAATAAGCGATGTTACTCAATATGCAACACCAAGGAAAATCACTAGAGGGAGACACGTGTCGATTGTTTCTGTTTTTTTTCCTAAAATGTTTTGTTCCAGATTGAATAAAACTTTTATTTTCGTTTGCCTTTTAATAAAATAACGGATGTTATTGAACATGTGTATTTAATAATAAGTTTACAAAAATACTGACAATTTTCTATAGTAACGTAAATTTAGTAATGTTAAGTAACTTTTTCTGAAAAACAACATACGTACAGTCGACATTCCAGATTGGTGAATCTGGCATTCGTGGTTTAATTTATTCTTGAACTGTACAATTAAATAGGAATGTTTTTGGACGATGCATAAGCCAAAAATATCTAAACAATACTGAAACCGATTTGGATGACATAAAGTCATATAATATTATGACTTTAAAAATATAAAAGTAATACTGTGCAAAAGTCTTAGGCAGTCATAGGAAATAATATGTAAATGATCTTCTTGTTGGTGTAAAACGTTGCAAAATGTCGTTCCGGGCAAATACATTGTGGCGTCAGGCGAACCGAGGTATCACGGGAGCAGAAAGAGACATGGAGACTTGCTTTTTGGGGAAAACACGCTCTTTATTAGCAGTCCTTAAAAGGACTTCCACGGTCACCCACGAGCACCAAACCAAACACACAGATGGGAAACAAAAGGTTGTCAGACGCCGAACTGCAAGATGCACACACGGTGGGAGATTTACAGAAGCTAAATACACACGAGGATTGGACCGGGTACACACAAGACACAGGCAGACACACATGCGACAATAGGGAAATGCAACCATTAACATTAAACAACACCAACAACACAAGGGCTATCTACAGTTGCACGCGGGGGATGCTGGGACATGCGCCCCACCAGTGCTACAATATACACTCACCTAAAGGATTATTAGGAACACCTGTTCAATTTCTCATTAATGCAATTATTTAATCAACCAATCACATGGCAGTTGCTTCAATGCATTTAGGGGTGTGGTCCTGGTCAAGACAATCTCCTGAACTCCAAACTGAATGTCAGAATGGGAAAGAAAGGTGATTTAAGCAATTTTGAGCGTGGCATGGTTGTTGGTGCCATACGGTTCGGTCTGAGTATTTCACAATCTGCTCAGTTACTGGGATTTTCACGCACAACCATTTCTAGGGTTTACAAAGAATGGTGTGCAAAGGGAAAAACATCCAGTATGCGGCAGTCCTGTGGGCGAAAATGCCTTGTTGATGCTAGAGGTCAGAGGAGAATGGGCCGACTGATTCAAGCTGATAGAAGAGCAACTTTGACTGAAATAACCACTCGTTACAACCGAGGTATGCAGCAAAGCATTTGTGAAGCCACAACACGCACAACCTTGAGGCGGATGCGCTACAACAGCAGAAGACCCCACCGGGTACCACTCATCTCCACTACAAATAGGAAAAAGAGGCTACAATTTGCACGAGCTCACCAAAATTGGACAGTTGAAGACTGGAAAAATGTTGCCTGGTCTGATGAGTCTTGATTTCTGTTGAGACATTCAAATGGTAGAGTCAGAATTTGGCGTAAACAGAATGAGAACATGGATCCATCATGCCTTGTTACCACTGTGCAGGCTGCTGGTGGTGGTGTAATGGTGTGGGGGATGTTTTCTTGGCACACTTTAGGCCCCTTAGTGCCAATTGGGCATCGTTTAAATGCCACGGCCTACCTGAGCATTGTTTCTGACCATGTCCATCCCTTTATGACCACCATGTACCCATCCTCTGATGGCTACTTCCAGCAGGATAATGCACCATGTCACAAAGCTCGAATCATTTCAAATTGGTTTCTTGAACATGACAATGAGTTCACTGTACTACAATGGCCCCCACAGTCACCAGATCTCAACCCAATAGAGCATCTTTGGGATGTAGTGGAACGGGAGCTTCGTGCCCTGGATGTGCATCCCACAAATCTCCATCAACTGCAAGATGCTATCCTATCAATATGGGCCAACATTTCTAAAGAATGCTTTCAGCACCTTGTTGAATCAATGCCACGTAGAATTAAGGCAGTTCTGAAGGCGAAAGGGGGTCAAACACCGTATTAGTATGGTGTTCCTAATAATCCTTTAGGTGAGTGTATTTACTACCCAGACAAATAGCTTTAAACTTTTCCTTTGACTGCCTAAGACTTTTGCACAGTACAGGGTGCCCATAAAGTCTCTTTATAATTTCAAAAATTTATTACAGAGGCAAATGAAAAGACAGATATGTGGAAATGATTACAAAAAGAGACGTGTATATTTAAGTTTTTTGCCTCATTTAATACACCTCTATATGGGCACCATTAGTTGCACGAAGCACATCAAGACTGTGCTCGATTTCTTGCCATGTTCGCTGTAGCATACCCTCATCAATGGTGGCAATGGCATCAGTGATCCTCTGCTTTAAATTGCCTTTTAATAAAATAACGGATGTTATTGAACATGTATATTTAATAATAAGTTTACAAAAATACTGACAATTTTCTATAGTAACGTAAATTTAGTAATGTTAAGTAACTTTTTCTGAAAAGC